AATTCCATGGAGGTTTCATTCCATGGATTGCAGTAATTAGAACATTAAGAAAGACAGGGAAGAGTTCATGATTCTGTGAGTCTTGCACCATCTAGTGTTTTAATTAGATTTTACTGTAGAAGGACAAATTGACTTTGTTTCTTCTATTATCAGCAAACATCCACAGGGAAAAATTCCAATTGAAGACTTTAAGTTTCATCAGACTTTTTGTTTTCAACGATCCTTCAGTATAAAAACCAAACCTGTAATTCCACGGTGTATTTATTAAAACAGTCTTCGTCACCAATTAGTTATTGCCTCTTATTTTATTTTATTTGTATACTCTTTGTTTTTATGTAACAACACTGGTTGTTTTCAATGTTCTTTATAAATCAACTTTATGCTTTATATGTTATATTGTGTTTTTGTCACATTGATAATAAACCTCTAGTGGAAAGTGAACTAATTATATTGCATCATCACATCAGTGACAGAAACACCAGTAAATCAGTGTGGAGTTTATGATCACGTGATTCGGTCTCCACTGCTCTGAGGTGAAGAGGATGAAATATAACTGTCACTTCTCCCACAGACAACTCAGTCTGAGGTGAGTCTGGTCACAACATTTCCTGTCTCGTCTTTTATCATGTATGTATTTTCTTATTTTCTCCTCTCACATCTCAACAGATTGTCATGATGGGCTCAGAGGAGAGAGCTGTGTTCAACGCCACGTTTGTTCGTCCGGCTAAATTCTACCTCAGTGGCTTCTCCAACATCCCTTATGTGAAGTATTACTTTATCTTTCTGTGTTTTGTCTACGTCTTCACTGTTCTTGGGAATGGCCTCCTCCTCTCCATGATCTGCCTGATCAAGACTCTTCACACGCCCAGATACATGATCGTGTTCAACCTGGCTGTGACGGATCTGTTTGGCAGCACCGCTCTCATCCCCAAACTCCTGGACACGTTCTTGTTCAACAACAGATACATTGTGTACGAGGCTTGTTTGAGTTACATGTTCTTTGTCTTTTTTTTATTGAGTGTGCAGTCGTGGACGCTGGTCACGATGGCGTACGACAGGTTTGTAGCCATTTGCTTCCCTCTGAAGTACCACAGCATGGTGACCAAACCCTCCATCGGGGTCATGCTGCTGTCAGTGTGGGCGTCTCTCCTGAGCCTGGTGGCCTTCACTGTTGGACTCATCGATCGTCTCTCCTTCTGTGGATCTACGGTGGTGAAAAGCTTCTTCTGTGATCACGCTCCGGTGTATCTTCTGGCCTGTAACGACTCCTCTTTAAATAACATAATGGCCTACGTTGCCTTCATTATAGTGCTCATCTTACCTCTGATATTGATTGTGCTCACATATGTTGGCATTTCCGTGGCTCTGAGCAGGATTGCGTCAGCGCAGGAGCGACTCAAAGCTCTGAGGACTTGTACCTCTCACCTCATCATCGTGGCTATTTTCTTCCTACCGATTCTGGGCACCAACATAGCAGCAGTGACATCGACCCTCCACCCCAACGCCAGGATCATAAACTCCTCTCTGACACACACCATACCTGCTTTACTCAATCCTATAGTTTACTCCCTGAAGACGGAGGAAGTGCTGATCTCCATCAAGAAACTCTATAAAAGAAACAGACTCAATAATTTCACCTCGTCCAAATTGTGATCTATCCATCGAAGCTGTGTTGACAGTAGGTGGATAATGATGCGATGTGTTGTTACTGCACATTGACAATAATGTGGGAAAATAGCTGAATCCCCAGCAACTGTTGCTTTACAACATTTCACATATGTTAAAATATAAGAGAACATTTAAAGCAAATATCACGAAAGAAATTACAACTTTCAAATAAGAATAACAACTGGAAAAAGCAAGAAATAAATCAGTACGTCACAATGGTTGGATCTTTTAGCAAACAGATATCAATAGAACAACAACCAGCAGCACAAAAATAAAACGGTTCTATAACTGCTACTCAACAATCTTTGAATTTATTGTATTGTATTGAGTTAATGCCCCAACTTATACGTGAAAAGTAAAGTAATGTAAGTTGGCAAAAAGGAAGATACAAAATAAAATGGAAAACAGAGAAGTAAAAGGGAAAAAGGAACAGAACGGAAATGTGGAAGAGTGGAGCTGTGTTAAATGAACAGAACAAAGTACCACAGCCATCCTGTAAAGGCCTATGA